GCGGCCGGTGGGCGCCCGTCCCGCTGCCGGGGGAGTTCTGCCCTGGGCCTCCCTGCCACGGTGACTCGGTTTTCTGCCATTAAGGAGCCATGATGCAGATTTCACGCTCTGCAATGAAACAGTGCTGGCTGCAGCGGCACGCCAGCCAAGCGAGCGCGTCCCACGCACAGGAACACATCAGAAGCAAGACAAGGCTCTCCCTTTCAAACTGTGTGGTAATTTATGATCCAAACCATAACAAATTGCTGCTCCTGGGCAGTACGGCGCAACTTGTATGTGGAAAATTAGAGGTGCCCAGTGAGTTCATCGTGCTGTTGCCATTCTTTTTCCAGATGGACCAGGAAAGGACACCTCAGTCCTAACGAGGCAGCAGCATTAGCTAGGCATTACGCTGCTGGCAACGCTGAGAGCAAGCTACCCCGGTCTTGTAGAAGTTGATACACACACCTCTGGGATCTTACAAATGTGCATTTAGTCCAAAGTGCTTTGTTCAGTGACAGCCAAGGAGAGTAACCTTGAAGATTACCAGCAGTTCTGTCAATGATTTTAAAAGCCATGGAGCTCTGTTCGGCTAAATGAGCTAGTTGAATCCCACATGCTTTATTCACATTAAACTTCTTAGTTTGTTCATTCTGGAATGCCACTGTCTTCCTGAAAAAGCTTTTGCTTCTTGGGAACTCTGTTTTCAGTTTGCCTGCATGAAGCAGTGGTCCTCTCAGAAATTCAGTGGTCAGTAGGTTTTGCAGGACCTCAGCTCTGGCCCCTTCACCCCACACAGGCAACAGGGGCCTCCCTACAGCCAGAAAGATGCAACAAACAAGGGCAAAAACATTGCCTGTACGCTGTCAAGGAAACTCATACAACCTCTTGTTTCCTCAGGCTCCCTGGCAAGAAAAGATGGTCCCTTCCATGACACAGTCCTGTTTGCTGGCTCTTTAAAAGAGCAACAAAGTGACCGCATGACTTATTAGCTCATACAAACACATTTGAAAACATCCGCTTCCAAAACCATTCCCGTGGTCACACCACCACCAGGACTGACAGCCCTTTGTCCTGGGCAAGGCTAAAACAAGATATGGTGCCAGTGAGACGGTGTTCTTCGGGGAGACCTCCCTGAAGTGTCAGGTCCTCAAATACAAAGCCTATTTCCTGTAGTTTAGTACCTACTCTCAAGATTTTCATGCATGAGATCAGTTTTTACTGATGATAATCACGCATTACTGATCTCATTCTTGCCCTCTGAGCATTCCTTACTCAATCAGATCTTTCTAAAGAAAGCTGACTTGACAGAATGAAATGGTATCGCCTGGTCTCATACAATTTTTGGATCTGTGTAGGAGAATGAGGTCCATGGAAGGGCTTATCCCCAACCTCAGAGCTTCCTTGGCACATTCCTTCCTAGGAATATCCTGGGACTATTTAAAGCTGCTTAAGAAATCCAGCTCACTCCAACAGGGATGGTTACCACCTTTAGCATATACTGGAATTGCTTTAATGAAGTATGGCTACATCAGAGCACAGCATGAAGAATAGCAGCGCAGAGAAAGTATCAGTTGCTGATTTCCAGGAAAGTCTGGGTAGCTCTACACTAAATTCCTGTGTAAATTCCTGTGCTAAACACTACAGAAGCTCTGCAGTCATAGCCAAAATTGTCACTTTTCTGAACAGGCTTTACCTCCCGTTTGTATGACTTATAGTTAAAGATCCATTTCTTTCTAGACTATATAGCCAGAAAGCAGGGTAAAGAGGATTTGAGGTATTGATTTCAAATGTATGCAAAAGCATTTCTTTGTCAGTGATGGAGTAAAATGACACGGTCTTCTTTTGTAGCTCCAGGAAAACTCCAACCTTCGATGGTTTATCCTTGTGCAATAACGTTTCTTGATTCCTGTGCCATGCTGACAGCTGCTTTTTGGGACCTAGCCATTCTATACACCAGGAATGCTCCGTTCTTCCTAATTTGTCCCTTTTACCAATCATTTCATGAGCAACTCCAACAGCCCATCCGTCACTGTCCTTAGTAATTACTTCCCAGTAGTGGCACCCAGTAGAGAAGCTCTGCGAACACATCACTTGGCTGATGCAGAATCTGTTGGGCGATGGCTCATAATGAGTTGGGTAGCTGGAAACCATTACTTTCCTGTTCTGAGCTGTGATTGCTAAGCGCTCATATACTCTTGTGAGATCAAAAGTCACATCATCTGCCCCTAGAAGAGAGAAAGGAAAATATTCTCACCTGCAGGCAACAAGACGACAGATCATCTCAATATTTACATGCATCCCAAATAACAGTGGATGTGCATCCCTACTCAGGAACAGAAATGAAAAGCAATGATCATACAATAAACGTGAATCAAAGTTCAATCCTGCAAATCAGCAAGAATCCTCAACCAAACACTAACAACTGTATCCTGAGCGTACTGAAACATCTAACAGGCACAAGTGCATAAATATCCATGACAGACTCATGCACTCCAGTGGGAAGGTGAAGGTACTTGGCACCCTACAGGATGGATCTTGTTCCTAACCACAACCTTACAAAAAATTACCCTTCTGCCAATAATAAATGGGATGCTTACCTTAATAAAATTTACAGTCATCTGTTCACTGGGACATGTTCTTGCACGTTTTATCAGCAAAAACATTTGGTTTGTGTTTTAAGCTACAGCTGTAGTAGTGTGTTGACTGTAAATTTTTTTCTGTAAAAATGATGCAGAATTCAGACAACAAAGGGAGGCATTACAGCTTAACACAGCAGAGATCAGTAAGGTGCAGTAACTGCCCATACACCAACTCAGGCTCTGCAGCCAGCACGAGCTACAACACAGCTGACAGACCTCCGGGAAACAGGTTTCTTATCCTTTTTATCTTGCATATGCCGTCAGGTATAGTATTGCATTACGGTGCAGTAACGGATTAATTAATGGGAACTTCATTGTGTTTCTATGCTTCAGGTAAACAGTCAGATCTCCTGCTGATGTTTGTCAGTAGTTTTCTTCAGCAAATCCACAGCCTCAGTCACTTGAATATTGTTATTGAAGAGTCACGCTGGCTTGCATACTTACACTGAGAAAACTGGCTTGAAATCATTGTTTCTGGATTTTTAGCTGCAGATTCTGGAGATGATGAGCAGACCTTTGTCTCCTGATGTAAGTCTGGAGGTTGCACTAAATATGAAAAAAATTAAACTGTTAAGGCACTTCTTCAAAATGTAAATAGGAAGTATTTATGCCTCTAAAGGAAAACATACGTAAAATAAACCTAGCTGGTGGTTAAAGTACAAAACAAAGAGCTGCTCTTTTGATTTTATAAATTATCAAAGGATGTGTAGGCAAACATTTTTATCCAAAATTAACAAAACACCGTATGCTGCTGCCCTAAGTGTTGTCAGAAGGGAGCAGTCAGAGAGTTAGACGGGTAAAGCAGTCGGATCTCACTATGCAGATAAGACAGTTTCTGTCATAAAAGTGTTTATGGTGTTCTTAATTTTTTTCTGAGTATCATGTCTTTCTTGCGTTACTTGCACGTGCATTTCATAAGCACAAAGTAATTTTTTACTCTAATTGCTGACCAAAAAGCCTGACATTCAGCCCTACAGCTTTAAGGGCTGCTTCTATGACATCGTAGTGCATATTTACAAGACTCACTTGCAGACACTTCCTAGTATAGTTACGTAATACATCGGCTTCAACACAAAAGCTGTCCTTAAAAGTTCCTGCCCCACACCTCTGCTCACCGATTCCTCAGATTTGCCAGTAAAAACGACTGTGGAGCAAAGCTGTAAACTCAGTTGCTGAAATGATCAAGATAAGGAAAACCCTGAGGTAAAAATATGAATAAGTATCTGGGTTTTTTGAGAACCAGTGCTTGAAAAAGGCAGGTGATATTGGAAAGGGTGGGAAGGGGAGGATTGTCCCCCAGTGGCAGTGGGGTTTTAGGTCAGTCTTAAGTTGCTCTCAAAAACACTCAGTGGTCTTTCTACAGCAGAGAGACGGTGCTGGGAGGAGAACTCCATAGCAAAGGCATACCAGATCTAAAGCTTTGCTTAGACCCAGCTTTTGGTGGGAGGTAATTGTATGTCTGCTCTTAGCAAAGACTTTGCTGTTACATTACTCTATATTTAGAAAAAAATGTTTAAATGGATTATGTTTCATTCTCCATTACTGATCTGCATGTCAGGCAGTTCTTTTCTTTTGGGCTCCCATGAAAGAAGTATAAAGTAATCATGTTGTCTCCAAAACTGCAAGGGGTTTTATAATAATTGCACACATGCACACTTGTTTTCTCTGAAGTTTTTGGTTTGTTTTCCAAAGTTGCAGACCTACCTGTTGGCAAGAACAGTTCTTTCACACAAATCTTTAGTGTGGGGTCAAAGTAGCGTCAAATTACAGCGGTCCAAGCCCCCATGCAAGGGACTGAGTTGAGGGAGGTCACGTGGAGGACCTTGCTAGATCCAGTCCCTCTAAAAAAGATTTCAAAATAAGGAAAACTCACCTGGTGGGAACTGCCGCGCGTACTTCTCCAAAAGTAAAATTTCCAACTCTCTCTTAAGATCTTCTACAGCACTTTTGACAACATTAAGCTTCTCATCAAGTGTAATTTTATTCATTGTTGAAGGTGAGCCTTTGTACCTATGTCTCTCAGGTAAGTTACTCTAATAATGACATAAAAGAATCAAGGAGAAGATGTAAACAATAGCAGCTATTTCATCTAGGATATCAGATTATATTATAAAGCTAGAGTAGAAAAACAGCAGCGATCTCTCTAAAATCTTATTCTTTGTATTGAGAGCTTCCTTTGTAGGATAGTTATCTGAGAGAACTAACCTGAAATCTTACAGAAAATATGAAAAGATAGTTTATTCTTAATAAAAAATAGAATACTTTGTTTTCCCCAAGAAAACTAAGAATGGGACTATTTTTTCTTATATATATATTACAATTTCCTTAAGTATACATACGTATACACAAACCTTCTCTTTTTAAATGTTCTGCTTGTTCTAGAACCCAAACCAAAAGTTTAAAATCATAGAATCATAGAATCATAGAGTCGTTAAGGTTGGAAAAGACCGTTAAGATCATCGAGTCCAACCGTTAACCTATCACTGCCAAGTCCATCACTATACCATGTCCTCAATGTGTATCAGTATGCGATCTAGCATAAAATACCCACAAAAGGGTAAGCTTCATTTCCCTAAATTTAGAAATTGTGGAAATCTACATCTAAGCTTGTCCTCTTAGTCTGCCTTTATAGTCTGTGGAAAGAAACAGGCCTTTTGAAGGCTTGATTAGTCTCCTTTGCAGGTAGGCGTCTCGAGTAGGGCAGATGACTCACGCTCTAAAAGTACCCATTTCTCTTCACTGCCTATAACGGGCCTCTGGATCAGATATAAATACGCAGTTGCACGAGGTGAATTCCCCTGTAGGCCCCTGGGCCTTGGCCCTGGAAGTCCACTGCTGTCTCCTGGCACGCTCACACCCAGCGAGCCCCACTCCAACTCCCTGCTAGCTAATTTGCATCATTGGGATTGTTGTTTTCAACATCGAAACGGGCTCTGCAGAATTTAAAGTGCTTTAACTGCCTCTTTTGAGAGCCCTTGACATATTTTCCCCAAGAAAGTTGTTAGAAAGTACTTAATAACTTTGTGAGTTCTTTAACTTGCATACATATGTGCATATACGTATTCTGGAAAACAGGAAGATAATAAAGGATCTTATCTTAACCTTAGATTTGACTCAGGACTGGATTTAAGCAATGCAGTCCCCACTTCAGCTGACCAACGTCCTTGGAACAAATCCAGTTCTCAGCTGCATCCCCAGCCTACGCCTTTTTTAGTACTTTTTCCCTCTGAATTTCTCACTCCAAACTTTCCCTGGTAACAGCAACATCTGTGGATTGGTATCATTGTCTCCAGTGAGAATAGTGCAGCGGGGACCTGACAGTGCTCCGTAGATGCTCAGCTATCCGAGACATCTAGCTTAAGAGTTTCTACTCATATTCTGCCACTTCATTTCATCACTTACCATTTGGGCTCTGATGTCTGTGACCTTGTTCCCCTCGATACAGAGCTGGTGAATAGTCTCTTCAATTTTCTGTTCAGCTGCTTTTTGCTCTTGTGTAATGAACATCAGTGTGTTTCTCTCCTGTCTTTCAACATATTCCTTCATGCAACAGAAATCTTTAGTAATCTGGCTTTTGATCCGAGATGCATATTCCTGAAAGGCAGAAAACATGGAGTTCATTGTGTTGTTAGAAAAGATGTGTGGAATATGAGAACCTACTGCCCCATCTAACGTGCTCTTTGACTGACCCCTGCAGACCAGAAACAGCTACCTTTATTCAAAGGAATAAAATATATTTGACACTATCCTGCATTACCTGCAATGAGATTTTGGGCATGTTAAGGATCTTGACTATTTTATGGTCAGCAGTCTTGGCCTGACAACTTAGAAAGATCAATATCCCCTCTTTATGATTTGCATTTTGCATTTAAGCATTTCAGAAACATTCAGGCTACTCCTGGAGTAGGCAGAAAAAGGCAACGGTGCACAACTCCAGTGGCCGTCGTGCCAGCCAAGACAGGAGTTAGTACAGCTGGTGCCATAGTTCATTCTCGTCAATAAAAACAGAGCTGTGACGGCAACAGAAGGAAACAAAAAGGCGGATTCCTGCTCTGGGCTGGAAGGCGACGCTGGAGTCGATCACGCCTCCCGGTGGCAGTGGCAACAGAAGCGAACTGCAGGCGGTGAATGTACAGTGTGTACCTTCGCTTCACTGAGATCTTTCCTCAAGAGGCGGATGGTCTCTGCAGGCATTTCTAGTTGCTTGGAGATGTCCCATATCTCTTCCTCCTTTAAAGTGACACATTGGACCATTTATCTACATAACCCTCGAAGAAAGCATGACTAGGTTAAGCAGCAGGATAATAAAAATCGCTACATCATTGACATCAGTTAAGCACTGGACTGGTTGAGAAGGGGCCTGGAAAATACAATTAATTCTGAGTGGGAAAAGTCACAATGAAGTCAACATGCAACAGTCATCAATTACGTGCTCAGATATAATTGTGAGCTTTAGCCCTTTGCTCGACTGCAGACTGAAGACGACTTTTTAGATACATATGTGCTAAAATAACGAAGGTCAATAGATTTTCCTCATCTCCTCCAAGTTTGGGAGTTATTTTAAGCAGAGATCGAGATAACGAACCAGTCCCATTTTGTGCCATTCAGCTGGGTGGAGCTGTAGCACTGTATAATAATGTTACGTGTCCTTTCAGGAGCCTCTAATGCTCTATTGGTGCAATAAACAACACCCAGCACAAAGAACAGTTATTACTATCGTACATCAGCTGAATACATACAGCTATTAGTTCTCCTAATTCAGCTATGCAGTCCTCAATGGATCAGACACCACCAGTGAACCCCAGACACTGCTACAGCTAAACCTGTCTGCTCAACACACACGATATTGTCACGACAATGCTCATATTAGCACGTGAGATACAAAGCGAAAGAAAGATAAAGTTAACTCAGTCCTAGCCATGTCCCCACGTTCATGACCCTGGTGAAATATTTAGAATTGTGGCCGGAGTTGTCCCGGGGTTGTGCCGGGCTGTCCCGGGGTTGTGCCGGGCTGTGCCGGGCTGTGCCGGGGTGCCGCGGGGAGGAGCCCCGGGCCGCCTCCGGCCGCCCCTTCTCCCCAGGTCGCTGCCCCGCCGCGCTCCGGTCGTTGCAGGCAACAGCTCCGGAGGGGGTCGGTTCATCCTGTGTTTCCAACTCTTCTTCCTTTTCCTCCTGCGGGATTAGGCTCACCAAAGCGGCCAGCTCCCGGTTGGGCCGCAGGTCCTTCAGCTCGAAGCCGTCCCGGCAGAGCGGGCAGCCGGCGCGCTGCCTCCCCTTGCAGTACGCGACGATGCAGGGCCGGCAGAAGCTGTGGCCGCAGCCCCTCAGCCGCACCGGCGCCCTCAAGTACCGCAGGCAGGAAGGGGACCCCACGGC